AAATATTATTATCATATAAAAAAATTAATATATATATATAATTATATATATTATATATTATATATATTAGATATTATATATATAATTTATATATATATCTATTATATATATATATTAATTTTTTTATATGATAATAATATTTGATATGCATAGCGCCAAAAAAAGCTGACAAAAAACGTTACATGCTTTTTTTTAAAAGGGAACAGAGGTTATTCGATTAACGATTTCGATACTAACCTTTATTATTCTTCAGGAGTTTTTCATCCTGTGTCTCCAACGGGCCCTCCATAATTTTTTCCATTCCCTCTTTGGTGCTGCCTTGAGCCCTGGGAATTGTACGGTCTTTACCCAAATTTTGATGTTTGTATGTAGTTCTGTCGTTACTAATCGTCCCTTGTGGTGGTGATTCTATATCACATTCTCTAGTGGTTCGTTGGTTTTCATAAATAATAGCCAGGATCATTAGGAGAAGAATCACACCTCCAGTAAGCCTAACAAGAAAAGGGGTTGTTTGAATTTTTAGTAAACTGTCACATTCAACGAAAATGAAAATTGTATCAATTTTTTTCATTAAAAATAACATTTCCCATTCTCCGCGAGTCACAAAAGTCCATATATCTTCTTGTCGTTATGTTTTTTTTTTCAATTCAGAACTCGATGACATACTATGAGTATCCTCGTTCCTATTCTCTTCCATGGTTTTTAGTTCAGAGTCAAGCAAACGTTGTCATCATCATCATTTCAAAAGTTTGAAAGTGTATTTTTAACAGCGTCTCTTACCTCTAGAGCTGTACGTCCAAAAAATCGAAAAACTATAATGTGAAAATACAGTTGTGGAAAACGGTAGTGGCCGTACGGTAGGAGTACTACACTAACAAGCCAATGATGCAGATTTGGTTACGGCGGTCAAAATTTATAGCGCTCTAATCTCACAGTTTCACTGCCGAGCGGTAGTGCTGTGAAACGAACGACTGTACCAGGGCCATTTTTTCCCCTCAAATAAGGTTTTTCCCGCTCTTCGACAAATGCGGTACAGGGGGGTGAGGGATGAGAAGGGAACAAATCGTAAAGATCACAAGGGGTATACGAGAGAAGAAATTTTACAATTGTTTGACGGGCAATCAAATTTACGCTTTAAAAAAAGTTATTCTATGCCGTGATTTTATATATTTTTGAGCAGTCGCAAATAGCCAGACGAATATTCCGACGTACTAGGATGACGGAAGGAGGATAGTCCAATCGATTGTTACTTAATAATGTTCAAACGAAATATACCAATACCGCACATTTTTTCACGTTTTGTTCGCATATTCTAAGTATACCCTGAGGCCCCGTGCGTAGTTTCAAATTCTAGAAGGATGTAGTTCAAATACAGTTGATTGCTCAAAACCCGCATTGTCATGCCGATTGTGACGTTGCAGCCAGCGTTATAAGTCAGCGACGCAAACAGTTAGTTGTTAAAATAGGTACGACATAAATAGGTAGTCGAGAAAAAAACCAGTAAAAATATAATCATATCTGGTAACCCTCTTGCACTCGCCATCTGCCACCGCTGTATATTCAAACGTTTATAAACGATATCGTGTGGTCTAACACAATGGATACCATATGGCTGGTAAATATTGATAAATATACTCGCAAATGAACATCCATGAAACTTATAAGCCATTCATCAATTAGAAATGGAATCGAAGGACCATTTCCGTCCATAGTGATTTTAAGGTATGGGTTGGAATTCAATTTTCCTTCTCTCTAGAATAATAGGTTGCTTCAGAGCTGTCAGTACTCCCTCGGTTGATCCATTCGTTAGAATTATTAGCTTCGGACTAAGTGTCTGAGACTTTGTTCCATGTAGTCCCCGTTCCTCGGTGGAGGGCGCAGAGAAGTATCGTGTGACGACCTTGGGCATCAGTAGCTGCCGTGTGCTTGATAACTATCTGAAAGTTGATCGTAGTTGGTCGGCGATTGATTCGGCAGACCGGCAATTGCCATGCACCTCACTGTGCGTTACCCGCCTTACAAAGCACTTCCGAATACCTCCAACAGAAGCGAGACGTTTACCTTCCCAGTAAACAAGTACATGTTTATCAACTTCATCAGCTGAGACGAAGACGATCGAAAGGATTCAACTAAAAAAGTCACATCTCAAATGAAAAGGTGGCTAGGAGACGGATAGCCGAGTTGGAAGAGTCCCCAATGCATAATCGGAAGGTGCGGTGTTCAAAACCCCGTCTGAACTAATGAAAAATCTGTCTGAACCATTTTGTTAGGAAATTTTTCTTGTTAAATGTTATTACAAATGAAACTATTCCCTTTCCTACCTCACTCAAAATCCTCTGCAGCTGTTTCCTCTGAAGTCACGAGATGTGGAACGTAATAATAACTTCTGCTCTTCTAGTCCATACATAAAATTTTATAAGAAGAGTTTACTGAAAGATTTACTGAAGCATTCCGGCGATGTTCCACCGGGAAATATCTAGTGTGCTATTCGTGATATGCTGCTTGCGGAGAGAAATTGTGCTGCTGTCAGGAAAGCGAATGAGGAAGATACTTCAAATGTTCCTGCCATTATCCATTCACATTATGGGAAGATTGACAGTTGACTGTTGACTGAGCAGCACCGATGCTAGGCATTCTACATACAGGTTTAAATTATTAACAACCGAGGCACACTCCTCTCTTCGTCACGATGTTGTTGATGAGAGATTAAGTGATTTTATTGTTTAATAATTGTTGTTTATTGATTTATTTCTTTGAGAGATTACATTTTCTTCCAAATTATCTATTAGATTATCCGCTTCTTCTTCATCCTTCGGTGCTTCAATCACCGTCTTGAGCGTCTAATCAGTGGCCTGTAACCTAGAGGGAGTTTCACCCATTGATGCTTGATATTTGAAAAAGTTTTCAATACCAGTAATTTCATAGAATCCTGTTGGTATAATCAATTTTCTTATCAATCCATCTTTTTCACTATTAAATTTATTACATCCTTCGTCGAGATTAGGAATTGACTCAATTCACCAGTGAACAACATCTAAGATTAAAGTACACAGATGATAGGTTTTATAAATTTTACTATATTTCACAACAACACCGCTTGCGATATAATCAATCCATTCTTGAAGTGGGCGCAAATTGCCGTAGCCGTCAAAGTACATAACTTCATGATTCTTCTTGTTATATGCAGCTCAGTGAGTGCCGGGGTCATCTTTATAATCAAGAATGATCGAGATACGCGGTAGCGTACCGACCAAGTAAAAGTTTCGTCTCTATCCGACAAATAAGGCCGAGAGCTACAGTGTATCTATACGCGATACAACTACCCCTTCCACTACCTCCTAATCGTATTCAATCCTTAAAATACAAATTCCACTAGTTACATGAAATCTGGGCACAGTTACATGCTATAAATCGCCCTTAAACCTTTCATTGATATAAGTTTTCCCTCTTTTCAATTAATATTGGAAAAAATACGCCCATGCCAACAGGCTCATTTCAATATTTTCCCGATTCCTATTATCTTTCGGTTACATTGAAGTCACGAGTACGAGTTTTGTACGGAATTAATTAAGTGAAACTTTCACTTCTCTCAGCTGTTTTAGAAAAACACCAGTTTTTATCATTTGGGGAGATTGACTATAATCAAGATGAGCTGATTCATATCTTCAGCTCCACAAAAATGTGAAATTTTCATAATACTGGCATACTTCATCAAATGAGTATCAATGATAGCTCCGTGCGGCAATCCTACACGTTTTTTCGATTCAAATGTAAATCCAAATCAGGTTTATAGTGTATTGAGTATATTCCCTTGCTCAGAGCGATAGAATCCATAGTGCGTTCGTGGGGCTTACTTTTTCCCAATTCTGCTTTGGCATGTTTAGAGGTGTTGAAAGCTTTGCTTATTCCAGTAGCTCCACCTGCTAAACCAGCTGTTGCACTGAGTCCGGCCAACAGTCATGGGATGGGATGGAGAGAACTGGAGATGTTGGGTTCATTTTTTTTCCTGGCTGCAACATTTGTAACTACTTCCCGTGCGCCTGTAAGTGCGCTCGTCACAACATTGGGTCCACACTGTAGGGAGCCCTTGGCAGCTCATATAAACTGTCGTATACGGAGAGAAAAATTCTTTAAAAATTAGGTACCTGTTCTGAAACCTTCTAGTCAAAACAATATTCTGTAAACATTACGAAATAGTTGCTCACTTTTTCAGGACTTGCCGGAAAAAGTCTAGAACGTTCACGAAAAAGGACAGAACGTTCAGTGAAAAAATGCGTAACTGTTCCGTAATTTTCACTAAATACTGGTTTGACTGGCAGGTTACGGAACAGGCACGTAATTTTTAAAGAACTTTTCTCTCCGTGTAGTTGTGTTCTTCACACTTTCTGCTTCAAATTTTTTGCTACCACAGACTGCAGTTTTTCCTTTTTTTCTGCGCACCAGCACTAATGGTTAGCCCCATGCTCTCTTGGGGGAGAAGTCTGATATATTGCGTCACATTGATGAGGCTAGCAAAACAATTAACAATTAAATTAGAACAAGTATTCCTCAATCATCAAGTAGTCAAGATGATGATTCCCAGAGTGCGGTAGATGCGGCTGATGAATCAACCTCGCAATTTGATATTGCAAATGTGCTCCATATATACCTCAACACTTACAGCAAAAAAGAAGATCAATAGTTAAACTAAACAATCGATAAATAATTTCGAGCCCGTAGCGTGGATTACGAATGATAAATTGGAAATGGGGTGATCAATAAGGATGACTATTGACTATAGACTATTGGTGATCAGCAGTTTTGCTTGACTTGAGGTGTGGCAAATTCGATTTTCCATAGAAATCCAGAAACAACGAATCAACAGATCAAAGGCAAGTGGTGAATGTCTGCGTAATATGAATGCCCATCCATTGTACTATGACCCAAACACGGCTGTGAGGAGCCAAAATCCTACAGAGAAATTTATAAATATCATTGAACATTTAATTAGATCGTACGAAACGATTGGTGAAAGGTTCATGCCAGAGTTTATGGTAGCTTCAAGGACGATGTCCAGGAAAATTGATTATTCTTCGTGGGATAATCCAAACTAATAGGTGGATACACTTCGCTTGCTCGTGGCCTCGCCAGCTACCGACACCCCTAATCACTCGAATGAAATTCTCTCCATTATCAAAGAACTACATGAAACTAAAATTATATATTAAAGTTTATACTCGTTTGGATCATTCCATTCTCACCAAGAGTGTCAATGTGTTTGAACCACCGTTGTTACACAACAGCAAAATCATAACTATCGGATGGAAACGAACACCAGGTGATAGATTTCGACGTACTGTAGAAGAGAATTATAGGTTAAAAGGCAGGAGGTTATGTGACATTGTATATCGAGTGGAAGATTCTAATGGCATTGCACTGCCTATTTGGCATACACGGCTGAGAGCCGAATGTGATACAATCCCTTTAAAAAAAGCTGACTGTACCGAAATTA